AAATTCATTATACCATGACACCAGACCACTAATTTAAATGCCTCTTTTTAAACTTCATGCCAACATATCAGGCATGGTAGAGAACATTTAATTTTACATCAGATGCAGCAAAGGGTTATAAATGTGAGATCTGTGCTTTCCATGGCAGTTTAGATTGAGATTGTGATCTTCTGGAATATGACCCCCAACATTTCGGGGGAACTTGCTTCCTCCATTTTCACTCACACCTTAATAGTGATTGGAGGCAGAAAGTTTCTCCAAAACCCAACTGATCATATAAGGAAGTACACAATGCCATATTCCAGAAGATTACAATCTAGATGGTTATGAAGTTGCTTACAAACTACTGCTTCCTCATTTTTATGTCCTTCTGGTCTACTTGCCATGTATAATTTCTTTTAGTATAATGGACCTGCATTCTTGTAAGACAAATTCAGATTTTCAAATATGAAATAAGATATGGCAAAACATAGGTACTTTTAAGAATAACTGTTCTACCAGAAGCAGACACTTTCAGAAACTGCTGAATGTTTCCCCCCATTTAACATTCAGTTTCAATGGTCCCCAAGTCAGTAATTTCAATCTTACATGTCCTTCATTTAATATTTTCCTCAATTTACTGTTAAAATCCACTGGTCCACAAAGAAACCAAGGCTTTCCCATGTTCACATTTAACACTGATAGTCTGGAAAAACACGTTCTGGAAGACCTTAGAAATGACAGCAGGGTTCTGCTTTGTAATATCTGCAACAGTTCTCATTAGGCCTAATTCTGGGAAAAACGACAATAACAGAGACATGGACAATGATGATGAATTTTTATGGTCTCTCTTTCAGTTTTTCATTACTGTTTCTTCAAATTCAGTTGTCAGATTTGTTGTCTCCCAATGAAATCTAAATTCAAAATTTCACATTACAGTATTACCTGATCACATGATTCACACGTTCACTTATTATAAGTCCGGTCCAAAGTACCTTAGGTAACGGAAATCATGTGGAATTATGTTAATGACTACAAAAATTTATATTACTCAGTACCTGGTGATATCAGAATATGCAACTTTCATGCCAACAAGGAGGATAGCATCACATATGTTTAGTGTCATAGTCCCAGTATTCTTTTCAATCAATATGAAGAAAGGGAGCCACTTTCTGCATACTGCACTACTTTATTTTAATTTACTGTCCCATTGTTTTCAGTCCTAAAATGAGTGAAGTCCCTTCAATGATTATCTATCCATACTAACTACATGATCATTTTTACGTTATCTGCTCCATTTGAGTGCAAGAGATTTCAACAGTCACAAAATACTGCTTCATCAGAAATGTCTTTCATATGTTCCATGGGCACAGTATAATTTCATTTAACTTAACTTACTTCAAATTTCAGTCACTACACTTTAGTGCACTAAACCAAAATGGTTCACCCAAATACATGAAGTAACTATATTTATGAGGCTCAGAGAAGATCACTGTTAATGCAAAAAAGTTTACACATCATTTATTTGAACATTCTCTAGACATAAACTGTCATTAAGTCAAACTTTAAATATTTCTAGTAATAATTAAATCACTATAATGAAATTTATACGCTGATATAAAGCAATTATCATCAATGAAATCAGTAATTTAAGAACCAAAAATTCAGTCACAACTGCAATGTGGGATAAAGATATAGAATGGGAATATGCAATGTTTCTCAAACTTGAGGCAACTGTGGACCATACATGCGCAGCCAGAGCACATGACCACTCAACTACCATACTGTTCCCCTTAGCCATAAAGATCATGGAATTGCGCTTTCTTCTGCGAATATGGGAAAATTATAGTTACAGCTGCCAAAAACCACTTCTTTCTACCTACCAATTTAGAGTAAATGTTTTGAAACAATGATTCATCACAATTATTTTAATTAAAATTATTTTAACTACTTCATATCACATAATGTAATATAACTGACATTAATCTGATGATGATAATCATTTCACATCAGAGCCAGTGATGATATTTAAGAGATTCCATGTGAATACGAGTATATATTTTCATTATTAAGCTTCATTATAAATAATCAAGAACGTTTTCAGACCAATTCGGATGAACACAGTGTTAACACAAGACACAAGCACGATCTCCATAGACCGGTTGCCAACCTGACATGTTTTCAGAAAAGCGCATATTATTCTGGCTTTAAAATTTTCAACAACCTACTGTCTAGTCTCAAAAGTCTAATGAATGAAAAGGTGCTATTTAAATTAGACTTGAAATGATACTTAAATACACACTCATTCTACTCTGTGATGAATTCCTACTGTCTAAAAACGACTCGTCCTTTTAAAAGATTATGTACATAGCATAAGTTGACAGTATTGACTTATATATGTGGATGTATTTCTTTTTGTGTGTCTCAGTTGTACTGTATTTGTGGCTTTTGTATTTGTATGACTTGTTCCACACCCTACAGTCATTCTGAAATACTTTGGATCTACGGAATGTAATGTATGTATGTAAGGCCATGCCATAGCTCAAGCGGTTATTCGTTGGATTCCCATCACGGCGACCCAGGTTTGATCCTGGGTCTGGGCAAATGGGATTTGTGGTGGACAAAGTGGCACTGGGGCAGATTTTCTCCGAGTACTTCGGTTTCCTCTATCAAGCTTCATTCCACCAATTGCTCCACAATCACCCTCACCTATCATCTGGGGCTGGTACAATAGGCCAGAAGTGGCCGCAGTACAAGGGACTTAGTTCCACCCCACTAGCAATAAAAACAAATGTATGTATGTATCATTTGAAACATTGCAACAGGATATCTGTATCTGGCTAGATGATGTATTGTGAGGTTCCACAACCAGCAGGTTCCTTTTCTTACTCATGATTTCTACTAAATTTGAAAATCCAGACACAATTGCAGGCCATCAGGAAGAGTAGCAAGTGTTTGGTGGCTCTGTCAGATACGAGTACTAACTCACTGAGACAAGTTATAGGTGCAACCTTGAAATCAGGCATATGGAAAACATTCTGATCCCTCCACAAGACTGTAATGGTGGTTTTAGTAGACAGAAACGTCTCAAGTGTCCTTCAGTCATTAAGAATGTAACCAGTCAGCATGCACATCCATTTCTTTGTATGCATTTCTGACAATCATAGTTAATTCTACATTTTATATTTGAATGTGATAATAATTGTTTCATTGTTTTTGCCCTTGAAACTACCTAGAGATCATCTGGTGGGCCATCATGGATAACAGTTTGAGAAACAATGGTCTACTGCAAACTTCTGTAAATGTGTTATGACTATTTACCTCTGATGTACAGAAATACTTGTGACCATCCATAAATTATGTCAAACCGTTCAGATAGAAGTTATATCTTATTGTAAATTAATCATCAGCAGAAAGACATTTCATACATAAAAATTTCCCAGTCTCTTCTATGTTATTAAGCTCAAATCATATACAAGTACAACAGACTGACTGTTTCATTTTCATAAATTCTACAAAAATATTTGAAATTAAATAACCAGAAGAAAGAGAATGTCAAGTAATATATCAGAATAAGTTTCTAAGTAAGAACTAGAAAGAGAAGGGAAAGAAATTTATGACCATTAGAAACATCCGGGCTGAAAGATACATGGATTCTTTCAGTTACATCTGAAATTTGCCAGAAGCTGGAGAGTATTTATTGGAAGCATTACTAAAACACCTGATTATCACTCAAATACAGAATGTCCATGAAAAATCTGAGGTTTCAAGAAGAAATATTTAACATAGACAAAAGAGAACAACACACACAGCAAGAGTGTCCAATTTTGTTGCATTAAGCAGTGCAATGCAATGCTGTGATGCTGTTTGCCATTCCAGTGTTCTGCACGTCAGTCAGTGTAAGCAGTGCTATATGCCCACCTTCGCAGTCAGTGGATAGAAAGAAATAAACATATTCCATGGTCCCCTGAAATTTTAATTTATGACTTCACATCTTTCTCCTGCGAGGTCATGTAAAGCAGTGTTTCTAGACCAGGAGGAAGCATTGTACAGACTTGAAGGTCAGATGTGAGAGACAAGTAGCTTCAAAAATAGAACCTTCCATTACTCATTAATATCACATTAAAATGCATACAAATGTAAAAGTTTCACTTCTTCGAAAAATATAATCTTTGTTTTTATCATAGTGGGCCTATGGTTTCTTAACAAAATGACCAGTGAAATGCAAGATATAAAAGTTGAAAACCACTAATGTAGAGGATGCTGTGCAAGCTGAATGTGCAAGATTTGCAACACATAACCATAACAGCAGTAACCACAGTGAGCCCTACATTGTTGATCAGGGTCTGGATAGCTCAAACGTAGTCTTGACTTTTGCAGGTGTGGGGTTTTTGTCTGTGTCGTTACTTCAATGACAACCCACTTCTTCGGAACAGTTGTAGGTCCTGAAAAGGACCGTTGGTTGCTGAGAGGTGAAGTAGCATGGAGCGTGCTGGTAGGAAGGGATGTTAGTTGCGGTGTGTGGACTGGCCGCAGTGCGGCAGATGGTGGAGGTTGCTTGATCGCAGCGTGGCAGCTGTTGGTGGAAGTCTGGCCGTCAAGCGCGGTTGCTGGAACGGAGAGGCAGTAGCTACGCCAGTTGCCCAGTGTGTCGGACATGACTACCGGCAAATCGAGGCGGCCTAGTTGCCCAGTGAGTCGGGTGCGACCGCCAGACAGCCGTGGCAGTCATGCCTGGCGCAGCGAAGCGCCGATGCCTCCGTAGACCGAGCGCTGGCGACGAAGTGTGCTGACTGCTTGAAGACTGCTGATGTACTGATTGAGAACTGACTGTCTTGCAAGCATTGTGCTCCGCCTTTTATACAATGCTCGGTGGGCGGAGTGAAACTTGCAATTGAGGAGCAACAATTTGCAGAGTGCCGATTGGCTAGCGAAAATGAGGATCAGAAATTGCAGTGCATGGTGGTATAAATATGAACAAGACGTCCGGCAATGCGATATTCACAAAGGAGTGAGTGTTGTCTAAAAGACCGGTGGATACAGCGTGCTATGTGGGATGTCCCCACACAGGATTGTGAATGGAGCCTATATACAGCTGTAGTGATTCATAATCATCATCCTACTGTCATATTATCATTCCGAGTTTCTCTTATTCATATTAAAACCTAGGCACTGTTGCACTTACTGATTCATATGTCAAAATTCATGTGCTGTGTGTTTTCTTATCTGCACTGTTCTCTGTCCTTGGTTTTGAAAAACATTGCTGTAAACTTTTAAGCCATTTCTTGCACACACTGCACTTTGCAGACTGCGAAAACACTTTACATTTTCAAGTATGTTATGACGACTATTTTAAACAGTTCCTACATTTTTTTTTGCCCATTTCCCCAACAAAACTGGGAAATGTAGCCCTTTATCTTCTAAGTGTTTTCAGTTCAAATTAAAACACAAACTTTCTCTCTTTATAAATATATGTATTGATTCCTGTGATTTAAATATAGGAAGGTAAACTTTCAAATAAATAACATACAAATGGTGGCTGATCTGTAACACATTTGTTGCTCTGTTATAAAATGTGGGCCACGATAATGAAAGCTCACAGCACATATGAATTAGTATATGTTTAATACTAGTGTTTTGCAGCACATCTCTCGTTAAGCTAACATGCTGGAAAACATACCAGACCCACAGAGAAATGCAAAAGCTGTTGCCCATGCATACCTATTCTCTGTACCCTCTTACTCTGCACTAGAATTTTATGCTGTGCTTTACCTTCACTAATTAAAAAACAAGGTTTCAAGGCTGATGTTTCGTTATTTTTATACAAAACTGATTTTCACTTCATATGCACAATTTCCTGTATTCAAAATGGCTCATATGGGTCCAAAGATGTGCAGTCACAAATTATCTGTACTCTGCCAGTTTCATAATGAAACGCCTTTATGTTCATAGATGCTATAACTTAATTAAATTTCCCTCATTTCCCACTACATGCGAATAACTGCAGCAGCTGTCTGAGTACAACTTACAGTCCATTCCTCAAACATAAGTGGTCTGAGGGGTCAGTGACTAGGCACAAATGGGAAAATGCTCTGGAAATGTTCCATGTTCTTTCCTAACATCCTCTTTAAAGAGGGTCATGGCATCTATCAAGAATGTTTACAGGCTTCAACAAGACCAGAATAAACAGGACTCTTGGTCAGAAACAGGCAAAATTAAGTTCATGTTGCAATTTGATACAAAAGTGGTATAGGTACATCTTTACAAACAGTAACAGCTGCAACATGTCTAACAGGACTAGCTAGGTTAATTTTTATGCTCACGGCATAAAATTAACTGAGGAAGCCCCAGTATTAAGATTACATGTGCCAGTATTTGTACATTAAAGCATGGAACTTTACTCCATGGAAAGTAACTTGGCCAATGAACTTATACAAAACACTCACCTCTCTCATAAAAATCTCTCATAAAAATATAAAAGTTTCTTCAGCATGCTGACTAACCCAGCACATATTGCACAGTGAATGCATGGCAATTCACGAACAATTGAGTCCACGCTCTGTCTAGAACTGCACTCACACTTCTTGTGTCACCAGGATTTGCAGCAGTAATACCAGTAAGAACCCATTTGAGATTCACCTCCTAATCACATTACAGTTCAAGTTGCTAGAGGAGATTTCTTAGGTGGTTTGGCTCTGCCAAGAGCTGCACTATCCAAAGGACTGCTCCTCTTAGGCCTCAGGATGAAATTTAGATTAAATGCTGTGTTGACTGCATAGTAGACATTTGCATTTTGAGGAAGTACCAGTTCTGAAAACAAAGGAAACTACATAAACTACTGAGCTCACTACTTTACAGCTCTTGGTCATCAGAAGAAAAAATGCTGTATTAACAAAGATCTTATTAAGAGTAAGATGTCACATATCAAAATGTTGTATTAACTGTTTGCTCTATTTTCCTAGTAAGGAAGGTGGTCTAGAAATAAATACAGAAAATACTAGCATCATGTTATACACGTATGTTTCATCCAGAGCAGATGAGAATGCAACAAATATTTCTAACACAAATCAGACCCTGTAGTTCATTCCCAGTACGTTACCTTCGCTCGGTGACGTGCCGTGCATGGACGCAAAGGAAGCATTGCTTCCGTAGTTAAGAAACGAAAAGAAGTCATATATAAATAATACAATTTGAATAATAAGGATGTGAATATTGTCATGTTCTGAACATTTTAGCGCATGGTGATGCTCAAGGCCACATTCCTCCTCTGCCTCCTCCCTTCCCCTGCTTAGGGGGAGGGTCCAAGTTTCCTTTCGGTAATCTTCATATGAGTTCGTCTCACCCAAAGTGGTCAGGGAGGCAAATTTCAGTTTGCTGGCTAGGCCTGTGTTATAAAGTGAAGGAATGTGTTCTTTCGATGGTTATGTGAAAATTAACTGTTTATGTGTGATTTCAGTCTTGCTGGGTGTTATAGGTAACATTAAGCTTTATTAAAATATTGTTAAGTGCATATTTAGATGGTGTAACATTGTATTTGTGATCGTATTTTGATGCATCAGAAAGAAGCTATCCCCGTCTAAGGGAAGCAAGTGTGATATTGTGGTACAAGTGGCAGGGGAGTGATTAGACTACATGCACAGAGCACAGCTAAAATGAATGCTAGCAGACAATGTGACAGTGCATAACAACAACTGAACGTTGTTGAACTGGTTGAACGTTCATTTTCTGCACTGAAGAGAATTAAAACTTACGCGAGGAACTCTCAAGGGGAAGGTAGAATGTCCAGGATGTCTCTGTTTTCCATTGAGAAGAAATTATTAGAAAACATTCATAAGAATGAAGGCTTCTATGACCATGTGATCAATAATTTTGCTGCTAAAGACCAGAGAATAGATTTCGTCTTGAAACAAATTTTGGTGAGTTGATTGCTATCAGTTCGTTTATTAGATACCACTGCATCCCTTACCAAAAATAGTACTGCACGCCACTGCCTACACTACTCCAATTTATGTCCAAGAGAATATGACATTATGCCAGTGTTCAATGTGGTTGTGACTTGATATATGACCTTTAGTCTGCATGGATAATAGAGTCAACAGACATTATGAGGGCCTCATTCTGCAGGGTTTTGGCTCCAGCTAAGATCAAGCTCTTAAAGTGCATATGCAACACTGGAGGTGCACAATGAGGTGACTGCAGGTTGCTCCTCCATGTCAGTACAACATAATTCAACACTCCAATCCATTTTATGTACTGTTTCTAATTCTATTCTGCCATGTTCTACCCTGTGTTATGGCCTGCTCTATACCATTGCCTACTGAGTCCTGTCATGTATCCTGTACTACAGTCTAGACCACAACCTTAATGTCATGCTTCCAGTCATAGGTCTCTGAACTCGTTGGAAGTGCAAACATGTTGCAAATACACATTCAAGTTCCATCATCAGATATGCAAAAACAAAACCATAACATAAGGATGACTGGTGAATATTTTCAAAATATGGAAAAGTGTCCAACAGTTGGGAGTAACAGTAACAAACAGAAGTGTTGTTGTTGTTGTTGTTGTTGTTGCTGTTGTTGTTGTTGTTGATAAACTTAGGAGGAGATCATCTGTAGGAAAGCTTATTACTGTTCAATTCTGAATATTTTCCTTCCTAACATGTTATCTTACATTGGTGTGAAACTTAATCTTGGTTTCTTATGTGGGTGTGTCTTGGTCTCTCACTGGAAGGGAACAACACAGACTGAGGTTGCTCAAATACTGAAGAGAATATGTGCACCTTGGAGAGATGAAGTAACAGAAATAGGACAATATTATATGATGACAGCTTCATAATCTGTGATCTACATCTAACAGCGCTATGGTGATTAAATCAATGAGGGTAACAAGCAGTTCTGGTAGGAACTAATCACATACTTTCCTTCAATATGACACATGCCACATAGAAAATAGAGAACATGAAAAATTGTGGGGGGGGGGGTTACAGAGACAGACACACAGACAGCAAGGTGACCTCATAAGCCTCCTTTCATTATGGAAAGTAGGTTAATGTTTGTTTTGAAAAGAATATCAGTGCCCTGTCCAAAAGGAAAATTAAGGTTACCAGCAGTGAAATATTCACGTGAGGATGGAATGGGCTTAGAAGCTAAACCCATAAAATGACCAATGATGAATATATCCTTTAAACGCCGGACTTTTGAAATGGTGGTAAGCTTGAGCTGGCTGGAGTTTATTTAAATGCCCGTTGCTACTCTGCATTTAAATGTCTGTTCCTGTTAGGGCGCTTAAACAATTTTAAGCATTGTGTTTAAGAATGCTGTACAAGGTGGTTCAAATATGACTGGGACTGATTTGTGTGTAAACAAGCCGCACTTCGCAGCAGCTGTGTGACTGTTTCGGAGTGGATATGCCACCAACCACAAGTCTTTTTTGAAAAGGGCATCAGGATGCTTCCAAACGTTGGAGAAAATGTGTTGACTCTGGAGGGGAGTACGTTGAAGACTGACATGTGCAAGTAAGTGTTTGGCAATTGTGGTTTAAAAAAAAATCAGTCCTGGTCCTATTTGAACCACCTTGTATCTAACTCAATTTTTACGATAAACGGATGGAATTAACTTTGTGTGTATCAGCAAAGAACATAGCGTTGCATATTATAATGGAAGATTTGAAAATTTTTATACAAAGAGTTATACTCTATTTTCAATTTTTTCATTTAATTTTGATGTGTACTGCAAAAATGGTTTCCCAGTTCTCCACAGAGTTGTTCTGCATTATAAATTCATTTCTGTTTGTAACACTTGACACATTTTAACAGTCCCTGGCATCATAAAACAGATGGAAGCAAAAAAATCATTCGGTCTTCTGCTAGCACTGCTTATACTCTTTAGATTTTTGAATCTTTTGACTAAAGGACAAAAAATGAAAGACTGACTATTCAAGAGAAACCTCCCTTCTTCAGCGCTAAGACCTTTTATTATAGATGCAGGAGATTATTGCCCTTTCTAGGGTCGTCAACAGACAGTTGCATCGTGGCTGAGATACAGAGTGTGATCTGTTTTCTGTGCGTTCATAGTGAAATCGAATACTGTAGTTTCATTTTAGCCTACACAGGGTGATTCACGAAGTCTTACCCCCACTTAGGGAAGGCATTCCTGAGGTAATTTGGAACAAAAAATGTTAATATACTAATGGTATCCAACTCATAATTGAAGAGATACAGTAATTTGAAAACCGGTGAAAAATCTTTTCTTCTTCGAATTTCAGTCAAAACAAATTAGAAATACAATACAAACACTTTTTAAATCGTTAATGTTTTAGGAAAGAAGCATTCTAAAACCAATTTTTTTTTTCAATTTCTTCATTTTGCATTGTGCAACATTTTTCATCGATTTTATGTTATAAAATTACATTATTTTCAGCATCCCATTCTGTAAACATACCAATGGTTGCATATCACACCCTTCTATCAATCTGTTTCCTTTAAACTGTAGTGCTTTAGAAGACGACTGGATTTACAGAAGATTTTCAAAAATTTCTTCCTGCACGTCAACACAACGCGTCGCACGCGTATGAACCGCACTTGTAGCATTTCGCAGTTCCACATGTTTGTTCCTTATTGTCATTGCCGCATCCAGAATACGTTCAAGCAACGCTTCACGTGTTTGTACCTTTACCTGGTACACAATGTCCTTCATCCAGCCCCAAATGCAATAAAATGAAGAGCCCGATTAGCTGATCATACAGAACACCACACCAGACACTGACACTGAATCGGTGTTGAAAATTCGATTCTATCGTGGCATGGGGATTATTGCCTGCCCAAACATGTAAGTTGTGACTGCTGTTGACCCCATCCCATGTAAACTGTGCCTCATCGCAGAACATTATCAAGCGGTACAACTGCCGATTTCCATTTAACCAATTGCAGAACTGCAGACGAAGAGCATGGTCTCCTGGTTGTAGGTGTTGTACTTGCTGTAAATGATAAGGATGCATCCCCGTTCTCATGAAGAGTCCACCACACCATGGACTGAGAAACACCGAACCGCTGAGCTAGATGTCTTGTACTGGCATGCGGACTGCACTCTACAGCATCAAGAATGTTTTCTTCTTCGCACAATTCATGTTGAGGATTTCGTTTGTATTGTATACGAATACTGGGGAAAGAACCAGTTTATCTTAATGCGTTGAATGTACTGCTAATGGATTTAGGANTTGTAGGTGTTGTACTTGCTGTAAATGATAAGGATGCATCCCCGTTCTCATGAAGAGTCCACCACACCATGGACTGAGAAACACCGAACCGCTGAGCTAGATGTCTTGTACTGGCATGCGGACTGCACTCTACAGCATCAAGAATGTTTTCTTCTTCGCACAATTCATGTTGAGGATTTCGTTTGTATTGTATACGAATACTGGGGAAAGAACCAGTTTATCTTAATGCGTTGAATGTACTGCTAATGGATTTAGGATTCGGAATCCTGCGATAAGGATAACGCCGGTCATATTCAGCAGCAGTGGCTCTCGCATTTCCATCACATACACCCAAAACAACACTATATCGGCGTATTCCTCAGTGGAAAATGTGTACAGCATCTTAACTTCACAGTCACCAAAAACATCCTATTTACGACTGGAACGCTCTGCCTACCTACATGCAACATTCCNCGGACTGCACTCTACAGCATCAAGAATGTTTTCTTCTTCGCACAATTCATGTTGAGGATTTCGTTTGTATTGTATACGAATACTGGGGAAAGAACCAGTTTATCTTAATGCGTTGAATGTACTGCTAATGGATTTAGGAATCGGAATCCTGCGATAAGGATAACGCCGGTCATATTCAGCAGCAGTGGCTCTCGCATTTCCATCACATACACCCAAAACAACACTATATCGGCGTATTCCTCAGTGGAAAATGTGTACAGCATCTTAACTTCACAGTCACCAAAAACATCCTATTTACGACTGGAACGCTCTGCCTACCTACATGCAACATTCCAGCCGGTCTGCATTATCTGCTGACACAGCTGACTGGAATGCATGGTCGCCCAGTCGGGGGTGGGGGACATAGCGCTGCATTCACAATGATGCGTTTCGAAAATCCATTGTTACTCCGTAACTATTGAAAATCGACCACAAGTTTATAAGGAAATTTTGCAGGAAATAACCCCAAGAATATGTACTATGAGCCGGGGTAAAACTTCATGAATCACCCTGTATATACATCAAGCAGATAACAACAAAAAAGGTATGTACATCAAATTTTACTATATATTTTTAACATATTAATCTGCAGAATCTGCAATAAAAGTACTGGCTCGTGGATGAGTTTGGGCATAACTCATTCGTATATTCTTTTTTTGCTGTTGTTCACTTAGGTATCATTTTAATTCCTTTATTATGGTTTTACTCAAGTCTGTCTAGTAATTACTACATTTAAAAATAAATATTTAGGACTGTGCATGCACTTCTACTAGCGGTATGCACGCGTGTGCTTCCACTAGAGGAGTTTAAATGCCCAACTGGCCAAAACAGGGTACTTCGGCCATGACGACCATACTCATCACTGGCCTGATCGGGACACTTCGGACGTTAAAGGATATGGAATAGTATGCTCAAAATACACATACGTTGCTTGCTATGCCTGGTGGTGTAGTTTTCTAATAAATAACTACAGTACTTAATATGTTTGCAGCAGGTAGGCAGGTTTCTACTCCTGTGACTCCTGGACTGACTAACAGGCAGCCTATGAAGGCGGGTTTTGTGCCATACCAGTGTGGGATTGTTGTCAATACTCCACTAGACAAACCAAACGAAACTGTACAATTGTATATATTGGATCGCTCAAAGTCAATATACAGAACACGGAATACACGTATAATATTCAAGCATTGGCTGGCCTGTCTGGGCAGTGATGCCGTGCTGAGCATGCCGGTAGGATCGACTGGCTCGGTCGGTTGCTGCGTAGTGGAAGATGCGTTCGCTGAAGGCTTGCGGCAGCTATGTCAGCTGCCCGGTAGCAGAAGTGGAGTCGATGCCTCTAACTGCGTTGCCGTTTCGAGTTGAACTGACTGCACCTTGGGCTCTCGGTCTTAAATACTACGGGCCGGGAGGCGGAGCTAAAGTTGCAGTCATCACGGCGCGCATCCATTGGGCCGTGCACGGAAAGGCGGAGTCACGGCGAAGTTTATAAATATGTGTCGCTGGTATATAAGTCGCAGTAGTTGGAAATGGTATAAATTCTGTGTCTGTCTGGTCACAGCTGCCAGTTTGGCACTTTCTGGAAGGGGTGACGGTTGTCTGCCAGATGCTGTGGGGATGCTCCCACACCAGATTCAAAACCTAGCAGTTACTTTATTTACTAACATATGTCATTAGATAAAGGTTTTACTGTAATATGACATGTCAGGCATCCTCAAAACATAACATTGTCCTAATAACTTAACTAGAAAACTGGAAAATGAAATGCATAAAAAAAAGAGTACTACTACTTAAATATTCTGAGGATTACAGGACAGTAAACATGTAGTCTTCTTTACAGAAATAAGAGTGCTAAACAAGACTATTAAACTTGCTGAAAGACCAGTATACTGCATGTCATGTTTGCTAAATGAATATATATTAGAGTTTGTACTGCTGCAAGATGATCAGTTGATGCAGGCAGACAGATACTGAGCTGTCCAGACATAAAAGTGTTAATATTAATCTACTTCAAGATACAGGACAGTCTTGTTTCAATGTGAACCACGTGTTATTTAAAGTTAAAACTTATGTGTACATGTCAGAAGAGTTGTTTCCCTATGCCTACCTTTATCAGGTAACACCTGGGCTAGTGTGTAGCTGTCTGGATTCCCCTCAAGGCCAAGCTTCAACATGGCATTACGAATAACTTGTGGAGTACGTTCATTGTTGCTCAGCATGATGCTCTTGTAAAGAACAATACCTTCAAAACAAAAGGTCCATAATGAAACAAAGTCAGTCCAAAAAAGAATACAAAGTTCTGTCATATCCATGATGGATTAAAGTGGCCTAAGGTGTAATGTCAAATTCAACTCAGTATGGTGCTGAGGTCTACTAGTCTCTGTCCAACTCAGTTATCACTAAGACAGGACCATAGACTACATGGGCTGACAATAAAGTTCGTGAACTCATCACGGTAAAAGTCATACATATCTCACTGCTGAATATCACTGTGGTCACCTTCAAAATATGCCCATTGAGAAGTTATGCACCAATACCAGTGCACAGTCCACCCTTCAAAAAATTTTGTAACTGGTTTCGTGGAATGGCCTTCAGTGCTGCCATTGTAATACTCCTGATGTCATCAAAATGTCTTCCTTTCAATATTTCCTTCATCTTTTGGAACAGAAAAAGTCAGTGGGAGCTAGATCCTGGGAATAGGGAGGGTGTTCCAGCAGTTATTTGTTTACTAGCTAAAAACTCCCTCACAGACACAGAAGTGTGAGCAGTGCAATTGAGCAGGTCCTTTGGGACCATTTCTAAACACAACGACACACCAAAACACACTCAGACAATAATAGACGCCACTCAGAAAGACTACCATACATCAACAACATAGCTGTGAAACGATGATATGTCAATGCTATCAAACCATTTTATTATTTTTTTATTATTGCTAGTGGGGTTGGACTAAGGGCCTTGTACTGTGGCCACTTCTGGCCTATTGTACCAGCACCAGATGATAGGTGAGGGTGATTGTGGAGCAATTGGTGGAATGAAGATTGTCTGGGGAAACCGAAGTACTCGGAGAAAACATGCCCCAGCGCCATTTTGTCCACCACAAATCCCACTTGACCTGACCTGGGATTGAACCTGGGCCGCTTCGGTGGGAAGCCAGCAACTAACTGCTCGAGCTATGGTGCGGTCATCAAACCATACTAAGGTTTCTGTCCCCTGCTGCCATGGCAAGCACACAGTGGTGAGTTCGTGAACTTTAGTGTCAGACCTCATATATTATATCCAAAATAAGTTCATAAACAGATATATGTAGTTAAGTGTGAAGAGTCTGACATGACAACACTAGAAAGGACAAAAATGGACTACTTAATGCCACATAAAAAGCAAAGCTATCCCTGTTAACAGGCTGTGGAGGCCTATAGGGTTGTGAGATGTTGAGGCTCTCACATATTCTCCAGACAATCGGCTAACAGATGGTGGCGCAGCTGTCAGCCTTACGTACCAGCCATCTTTCACCCCCAGGAAAATTCCTGGTACTAATTTCTGTTACAGACTGAGTTGACCCAAGGGCCATAGTAAGGGCAGGAAAATTGAAAAATCCAATGACCTCATCAGGAATTGAACCCGTAACCTTCCAGCTTGTAGCATAGTGCCTCAACCTACTATGCTACAGTGTTAGATGCCACATACAACAAGTAACCTACAAAGTAAAATTAAGCATCTATAAACAAGACTTAATACTTCCTTATACTACACCAGTAAATCTCATAATTAACATTCACAACTTCCTGAAGAGATCTATTCTTACGCTTTCATTACCCTTTCTTTCATTAACAATATCCAAGCAAAGTCTTGTATTATCACCTTACACATATTTTCCCTTTCCTCATGAAGAGGCCAGTGGTCATAATGGTAACTGTACCTACCATCTGTCTCAACAGAGCTTGTCTCAACTGTAACACGAATAATGTAGAAGTCATGTTGAGGTTTTGACAATGGAGACTGTCCTGGCACAGTCAGCATCCGACTGGTAGTGCTGTTTGCTGCAGATGTATTAGTGTTGCTGCTGCTCATCGATGTGTCCAGAGATGGGAGTGATGAACTGCTGGATGAAGATGACATCTGCGAAGGAGATGTCTGCAGGACAGAGGCAAACAAAGATATACTGAGAAAACTACTACACACACTGGTAATGATAATGGGCATTTAATTTGCTCTAGCTAAAGAAATGAAGAATCAGCCAGTTGACTGGCTGCTGAACAGTAGACTTATCTAACTTTCTGGCAACATTGTTAATACCACAAGCAGCCACAGGACACGATTCTAAGCCAGTTCCAGTCATCTCCACCTTACACACTTGCCAAGCTGTTATTTACGCTATACAGAATACAGTTTCATTACGATCATAACAAGTAATTCCAGGATCCTAAACTGAAAGGTTTAAACCCACAGCCACCATGCTCATATTATCATGTGATCAAGTGAATACAGACAGGGTTTGCACTGGTAATCACACTTACTGGACATTCATAGAGCTTGTGACTATGCTTCACAAATCACTATCACACAAAGACTAGTATTCTATATCACGGTCTTCACTGTGCTGCTTGGTAAGATCGTCCAGCAGTGCACTTTCCTCTGCTACTGGGGTTCACGTCCTCTCAGCTGGCAACCATCTCACACCAACGTCCTAATCTTCTAACTCCTGTCTCAAGACTGGCTTCTGAGGTCGGTCAATCGGTTGGTCAGTTAAACTGCTGTTGGTCCTCACCAGTAGCCATTTCTGGGTTGTCTCCTCAAGAACCAACACCAAGATTTGTATTTTCTCCTAGACGAGTATGTGTTTCCAATTGGGGTCTTTTCTTTGCCAAAGGAGGGGTCAATCTTTCTATGTAGATTCTGTGTCTGTTGCACTGCAGTTTCAGCACCAATATATTCACACTGTCATGGCACCCATGTCATGAATCAGAGTTACTTTACAACTGGCGGTTTACTGCCAAAGTCCCTTGAGGCTTGCTGTTCCAGGTTCCCCTTAAATGAGCTTGTCAAAGACTGCACAGAAAACACTGCTTCCAACAGTTCCTCGACTGTTTATTGCATATGTTGCTTAGCAACGGCTCTGATGCTGTTGTGTGTTTAAACAGCCATTGCCTAGCAATGGTTCTTCCTCTGGCTCCCACTTTTTGCTGTGAGGCTTTATGTCACAATGTTATTAAAGGCAGGGAGTCAGAAAGCATGAAAATGAAGTCACCTACAATGGTTTATGTTCAAACCAAGTTCCATGAAAATCTGCTAGTATAAATATTATTAAGGTGGAGAAAAGAAAACACACACACACAAGAATGCAAGCTGATCATGTAAGGCCAACTTTCACTTTTTAGCAAGATAAGAATCATAAAGTAACTGACATACACTGCACAAACTACATATACTAACAAAACATTTATTTGCTCTCCCACCAGAACAATGCTCACCTTTCTGTCCAGTGAGTTGTGAGGTGAGGAGGGCAAGCTGTCCAGATCACAATAAAATTGACTGCTTGAGCTGCTTGATGTGCTTGCAATTGAATCATTCTTGTGGTGTCCCAAACTGTAATGCAAGAGATTCAACTAATTCCCAGGCATTAAGTAATGTCCAAATGTATTCAATTATTCCTGTGCTTATTACAGAACAATGAAAGAGCATGTAGAGTGAAGGTCAAGTTGAATGCATTCTTAACCTTGGGAACTGAGTGTTCAGTCTCATGAAAGTCTCAGTATCCACTGGATGTAAATATACGAGGGGCATTCAAGTTCTAAGGTCTCCAATTTTTTTTCTCAGGACTGGGAGCAGATAAGACACATGCGGTTTAGTTTAAAATACGTGTGTACTCTTTGTGAATGCGTGACAGAGATGGCAACACTCTACGGCACACAGAACTCTAGTGGTAGCGGCGAGAGTGAGAAGAGTTTTTTGATACTTAAAATGGCGACGTTTTCGCTACAAGAACAGCGAGTAATCATTCGTTTTCTCCACTTGTGTGGTGCGACACCCATTGAAATTCATCGCCAGTTGAGTGAGACATGTGATGATGGTGTCATGAATGTGAAAAATGTGCGTTCATGGGTGCGACAGTTCAAAGAAGGCCGAACGTCATGTGACAACGAACCAAAACAATCTCAGCCTCGCACCAGTCGGTCTGACAACATGGTTGAGCAAGTTGAGAAAGCTGTTTTGGAGGATCGCCGATTGAGTGTGGAAAACATCGCCTCCAAAGTTGGCATTTCTGTGGGATCTGTGCACAAAATCCTGCATTAAGACCTGTGAATGTGGAAAGTGTCCTCCAGGTGGGTGCCATGAATTCTGGCGAATGACCACAAGGCTGCACACATGGCAATTTGCCAGGCGATGTTGACACGTGATGAAGGCATCAATGGGACTTTCTTTTCATCAACTGTGACAATGGATGAGACATGGATGCCGTTTTTCAATCCGCTATTGCATCAGCAATTTTTCAGTGCTCAAAACAGACTCCTACAGAAGCGTTCGCAGTGGCCATGGAATCATGGCATCGACATTGTGAAAAATGTGTATGGCTGCAGGGAGATTATGTTGAAAAGTGACAGAAGTTTCAAATTTTTTGTATGATTATTGTGTGAGAAAAAAAATCGGAGACCTTAGAACTTGAATGCACGACATAGGTGGGATACAGAGCCATATTGGCAAAGGAAAATTTCTTTTCTCTGTTGGCAACAAAACCCCTGTAAAGCAGCTATACATGGCAGCTACTTTACTGACTGAGCTATTCTGACTCATTACTTATTCAAGAAATTCCCTGCATGGCTGTATACTGACAACACAGTCAGTATCCAGACCATATAACACCAAATGACTCATAACTGATGAATCAGGAAGGAAGGAAAAGTTATAGCTCACTGAGGCACTACCCCAGTATTTGACTGCAGTGGCTGAGGAAAACCATGAAATCCTCAGTCATGACAGCCAGTTTCCTGACTGAGATTTGAACTTTGCACCTCCTGAATATGAGTCTAGAGGATAAGTTCACACCTTTGTTTATTATACCTCTTATACACTATTTAAAGAGAAGAGAAAACTCAGTTGGAACAGTAACAGACTACAGGCTAGATGGATCAAGTTTGATTCCCAGCAGGGGCAAGAGAGTTTTCTCTACTTCACAGCATCCAGACTAGCTCTGGGCCCCACCCAGCATCATATCGAGTGGATATTGTGTGCTCTTTCCCCAGGAGTAAAGCAGCCAGGGTGTGAAGGTGGCCACTCACCTCCACTCCCCCACATCTTCATGGCACGGTGCTTAATTAACTAAGTACAGGGACAAGTTTACCTTTTTTATCCTTAATATACACTTTAATATCATCCTTATATCCTTCAGACTTCCTAACCAACATTCAGTATGCACTTCCTATTCCCCTTTGATCCATGGCTTAGGCTGCACCAAATGTATGTCCAAGTCCAAGACTAAGATTTTTGTGACAATTTGTAACATACAAACTGTTTATAGTGAAGATCTGCTAACAACACACATTACACATCTTGTTGGCTGTCCATGACTATGTCTTTAACAAATTCATAGCTAACTTCCACCTATTACTGAGCATTTAAGCAAAACTTACCCTGCTCGTCTCTTGTGTCTCAGCTCCCTAGTTGTACCAGCACTGCCCTGCCCCTGACCTGGTACAGGTGCCTCTATCTGACATGACAATTCATATGCTTCACGGTCATCTAGCACAAAAATGGAGTCAAACCAGCGATCAAAGGCAGGGTCATCAGGCAAGTTGTATGCATTTGCTGCTCCCTGCAGAAGTTTAATCTGAAAGCAGAATATTATACAACATCAGTTCTCTGGACAGGATTACAAGGATCAAGAAAGAACATCACCTATCATCAATTTACATAATAAGAGTCATTAAACTTCACAGTGAAGAGAGGGCTGACACAGCGACTGCATGATCAAGGACCTATAAATTCTTCTCCAGCTTAAACAATGGGAGTGCACATTCCAATTTCATGTGTGGTATCAGTGATTCAAAATTTTCCTGTCATTTTTGTAATGAAATTATGATGCTTAGATCCTAAACCAAGAGGATTACTATCTATCTAAAGATCTAAAATACAGGGTTCACAAGGAGGAGGAACAGAGAGAAAGGGGAGGCAGAATAGAAGAAATGCAAAGGGAGCAACACCTGAGTAAAGATCAAGACAGTAAATTAACTTGTCAACTACTGAACTACTGAACTTATGAACTATTCATATTATGAATTCCAATCTTCATTGTCATTAAAATCTCAAATCTCACATATCAACGAGAAAGTTCACATTATGTATGAAATTGTTACTGTCACTTCTTTCTTCTCCACTATTCAATTTTCATTTCATTCAACACAAAAGTTACAGAGATTACACATAAAATTCCCTTAAACACCAACTTGTTATGCATCCTTTATCAAACTGGGGTGGTTACGTTCATGTATCTGAAGGCCTTATATCCGTAAAAACTGATCAGGTTTCTATGTAATTTATTAACTGTATAGTAAATTTAATTTTGGACATAGCCAAATATAAAACATATTTTACCATCAACTCAACTTTAACTTCAGTCTTATTTAGAAACGGCTCTTCATATAACAACTTCATAGAGGACAAAAAATATGGAACACTTGATGACATGGAAATTTTATTTTAAAAATGTTTCAGTGTGATGTTTGAGGTTAGTATGGTGGTAAATATAAAAATTGAGATATGACACCATGTAGGTTGATGGAGAGGTACCATAGTAATGCAGAAACCTGCTGCTGCCAACTTCAGGGTATCCTACACAGGCCCACAGCCCAGAAAACTCTATCTTCATGCTTTAATGTGATGAACATTTAATAACATACATGCTAAAGCATTTTTTGACATAGGTAGCCTGAACAGCTTTTGAACAATAGATTTGTATTTTCAGTGTTATAAAATTGGTTACTGGAATTCGTCCATTTTCCTGTTGTTGAAAAACATACAGTTTCCTATGTAAATACTAAACAGATTCTTATAATTTGAGTTAAGTTTACTGAGAAGATAATGATAGCAGCAGGCGTGACCAGAGTGGTTTGAACGGCTGCTGTACTGCGATGTGGAAAGCAAATGGAAAAACTACCACATTATCACTTTTCCTGGATAGTCTCTTTCCAAAAACAGAGATACCATATATGCGAGATGTTTCCTCTGGAGGCAAAACAATCCGGAGGTAAACTACTCCCCCAATCGGATCTCCGGGGGGGAGTGTTTCTAGAGGAAATGTCATGCAGGCGTTACAACAAGAAAAAGTGCGAAGATCAGAAGAAACAGCATGGATACAAGATTGGAACATGGAATGTCAGGACCTTGAATCAAGCAGGAAAATTGGAGAATTTGAAAACGGAAATGCAGAAGAATGAAGTGTCTGTGCTAGGTGTCAGCGAAGTGCGGTGGAAAGGACAAGGTGAAATAAGAAGCGGTGATTATACAGTGTATTATTCCGGAGGTGAACGGGCTGAAAGAGGTGTGGCAATAGTGGTGCATAAAAGTGTAGTGAGGAGTGTTGTTAAGAAGATTGCTTGTAATGACAGAATTATTGCTCTGAAGTTAAAGGCGGAACCGGTAGATATACTGATTATACAAGTGTACATGCCAACATCAGAGTATGAAGATGATGAAGTGGAAAAAGTGTATGACACAATTGAAGAAATTCTTCAGGAAGATGGAAGAGGAGACACAAACAGCATCATATTGGGAGACTGGAACAGCATTGTTGGAGATGAACCATATCAGAATATTGTTGGATCACATGGACTAGGAAGACGGAATCACAGAGGTCAAATGCTTATTGACTTTTGTGAACGAAATGGATTGATTGTTACCAACACTTGGTTCAAGAAGCCAAAGAGAAGAATTTACACATGGAAGGCACCTGGGGATTGGAAGAGGCATCAGCTGGACTACATCCTTGTGAAACATCGATTCAGAAACAGTGTGAAGGATGTGAAGACGCTTCCTGGGGCAGACATTGACTCTGACCACAACTTGCTGGTTGCCAAGTTCCGAACCAGGTTGAAGAAAATTATAGGATTTCGAAAGCGCAGACCCAGATGGGATTTGGAGAAGTTATATGCTCAAAGACAAAGCGTGCAAGAGACTCTAGAAGAGAAACTCGGTGCAATTGAAGGTGAAAGCGGAAATGCTGAAGCGCAGTGGAACGATATAAAAGAATGCATGTTAGATACTATCAGTGATTTGGTAGGTAAAGTTGAGAAGATAGCAAGAAAACCATGGGTTACACAGGAGATGATGAGTAAAATGGAGGAGCGAAGGAAATGGAAGAATGTCAACAATGAAGAAGGCAGGAGGAAATACAGGAGACTGAGGAATGAATTGAAAAGAGCCACGGACAGGGCCAAAAAGGAATATCTTGAGAAGATATGTAATGAGATTATGGAATTTCAAAGAACAGGCCGTTATGATTTGATGTACATGAAGACAAAAGAACTAGGATGGAAAGAGAATCATGGGATTCAAAATGTTGGCATCGAAGACTCCCAGGGGAATAGAATAGTAGATCAGAGGCAAGTGCTGAAAATTTGGGAAAATTATATTTCAGAACTATATGATCGACCTAATCGGCCAGAAACCTTAGAAGTTGAACCGGAAGAAGAAGTAGATACAGACGAGAAAGGACCATATATTTTACAAAGTGAGGTGGAAAAAGCTATCAAGGAAATGAGGAAGGGAAAGGCTACAGGAGATGATGATGTACCTGGAGATGTGCTCAAGTTACTGGGAGAAGGTGGTTTGAAAACACTGACAAAACTAATGAACACCATATATGAAAGTGGAGAGTGGCCCAAGGACTTTACAGAAGTTACAATGATTGCCTTAAAGAAAAAGACAAAAGCTACAAAATGCAGCGACCATCGCACAATAAGTCTTATTGCACATACAGCAAAGATAATAGCAAAGATACTTAAAAGAAGAATTGAAAGGAAAATAGAGGATGTACTTGGAGAAGATCAGTTTGGATTTAGAAGAGGAAAAGGAACCAGGGATGCAATTGGGATGATGAGAATTATAGCGGAACGAACTTTGGAGATAGATGAAGAACTGTGTGTTTGCTTCATAGACTGGCAGAAGGCATTTGACCGGGTAAACTGGACCAAATTAATGCAGATCCTGAAAGAAACAGGTATCGATTGGCATGAAAGAAGATTGATTAGCAAATTGTACATGGATCAGAAAGTTAGAGTACGACTGGACAGGGGGGAGACAGGAAGTGTGCAGATTGGAAGAGGAGTTCGACAAGGATGCTGTTTATCACCAATTCTGTTCAACTTGTACAGCGAATGCCTTACCAAGGAAGCTCTGGATGGGCTCGGTGACTTCAAAGTAGGAGGGCAAATTATTCAAACTGTGAAATATGCAGATGACCTTGTGTTAATGGCTAAGGAAGAAACTGTGCTACAGGGCATGATTGATAGACTAATTGAAATTGGAAGGTGCTATGGCATGGAAATGAATGTGGAGAAAACAAAAGTAATGAAAATTTCGAGACAACCAACCCCAGTCACAATAAAGATAGACCAAAAACAAGTGGAGAATGTGAAATGTTTTAAATATTTGGGTAGCTTGTTAACAGATGATGGAAGGTGTACTTGTGAAATTAAATCCAGGATTGCCATGGCAAAAGCTGCATTTAGCAAGAAGAAGAATCTTTTTACCAGCAAATTGGACTTAAATTTGAGGAAGAAACTAGTGAAATGCTACATTTGGAGCATAGCTCTGTATGGGGCTGAAACATGGACACTTAGGGCAGTAGATCAGAAACATCTGGAAAGTTTCGAAATGTGGTGTTGGAGAAGAATGGAGAAGATCAGTTGGACCGATTATGTGAGAAATGAAGAAGTGTTAATTAGAGTCAGTGAGCAGAGGAATATCCTACATGAAATAAGAAAACGGAAGGCTAATTGGATTGGTCATGTTTTACGCAGAAACTGCCTTCTAAAAGAAGCTATCGAAGGAAAGATAGATGGGCGGATAGAAGTGACAAGAAGACGAGGAAGAAGACGTAAGAAGATGCTGGATGACCTTGGGGACAGAAGAGGATACTGTCATTTGAAGGGGAAAGCTGTAGATCGCATTAAGTGGAGGAATTGTTTTGAAAGAGACTGTGGACCTGTCGTCTTGACAGATTACTGATGATGATGATGATGAATGATAGTTAATTTGTCTCAATACATACATAATGACGACTAAGTTTTTGATATACTGTATGAACAGTAGTAACAGAACAGAAAAAAATATAGTACTGTTGGTTCTTGATGTAAAGGAGATAAAACTCATTTTGGAGCAATAACCTATATAAGATATAAATCAGAGAGACTATTTTGACTGCCCTGTTACAAGATTTGCAACAGCGAAAGGACAACAGGGTATGTAAACCGCAAAGTATACACTTGGAAAATATGTGCAGTAGAAACTGAACTTTCTGTAACTGCCAAATAAGATAACTTTGATGCTATGTTATCTCTCACTCATGCATGCATAAAAGCATAGACCACATGTTCAACCTTTCAAATTCAGATAAGGCAGCATCAATACAAAACATCTCATATGAAATCGGAAGGTCCCCAAGTGGAATCCTAGTGTGTAGGTCTAATTCTTGTACTGAAACTCATAACATAAACATTACTGTTGGTACTTTCATAACACAATCTCCTTCTTCTAACTGAATTTCATGAGAAAATTATTAATTCTTTTTTATGCCATTCCAGAATCTGAAAAATGTAGAAATTTAATTTGCACCTTGCCAGTATCCAAATAGCTTACCTGTGCCAGAACTTCAAACTCTTTCCTTCTCTTATCAAAATTGATAAGGCCATCAGCGACCATGTCAGGGATTGCTGTGTCAATCATGGTCAGGTCTGTGAGGAATGTTCCCAAGTAAGGAATTGTACCATGGCTGATGCTCTGCAATGCATAATGAGACCATTCAGTTTCTCACACAGGATTTGTCGGAATTTTCTATTGAATTTTCAACATTCACTTCACCGGAAAAAGTTAAATACAGAAAACGTGCCAGGAACTGGGCCCAGGAGCAAACATATGTCAGCCATGGACTTAATCCAGGACTATCTGAAAACATTTCCAGTATCTTAACACAAAATTACCATGTTTAATAGGATGCAAAAATTACATGGGTGAATATAACAAGTGGTACAATTGCTCACCCCGCTATTGTTTAGTTGTCGTTGGAACACTTTCTGTAGCTGGCGATCATTTTCTCCCACTGTGTCTGCAAACTTAGCTGTGCCTTCACGCATCAGCAACTCCCGCTGTGCCCACTGATTATTGTCTTCACTGAATATTCGGGCTAGTTCTTCAAAGAGTTCCACCTGGTAATATGAGCACTCATCTTAAAACTGTGCAATTAGTGAACTGTTATGTCCATGATATTTTGAAAAACACAAAATATGTTATATGAATAATAATAAATATTCCCAAATTTGATTCTGCTCTTAATTTCATAGCAAAAGTTACTTCTACTTCCTACACAGCTACTGATGTGGATCAGCCATGAGGACCTGATATATTGTGGCATACAGACCCAGTGCTAGGCAATGACAGCGAAACAAGGAGACAACGGCCCTTACTGTGCAACAGTACAGGAGTTGTTGCTAGGCAGTGGCCTGCATGCAACAATGGAAGTACTGTTGGAAGCGGTGTTTTCAATGGCCAATGCTATGCAACAGCTTCGTAAACATTCAACAGTACAGAAGTTGTTGCTAAGCAGTGGCCTGCATGCAACAGTGGAAGTACTGTTGGAAGCGGTGTTTTCTGTGGGTCTGCTCTGAGGCTATATCACTCAACCAACTGAGTTGAATAGTTTAGTTAGTGCAGTTAGTGTAGTGGAGTAAGTGGTAAGTGAATGAGCTAGTATGAGAACTGCTGCAGTTAAGCCCTGGTGAGCTGTTGCTGTTAGAAGCTGGTAGCTGAGGCACAGGAATAGTTCAGGAACCCTGAGTAAGGGGAATGTCCACTGTTGGAAGTCACTACCAGGCAACAAGTGGTGAAGATGAAGAAGACTGGGAAGACTTAGTACGTGCTGTAGTGATGAACTGCAATGTGTGTGAATTAGCAATAGTGCTATACTTACGGGTAGTTACGATCTATAAGTGCTCAATAAATCCAATTACCAAATCAAAACCTGTCTATAAACATGCATACAGGTGGCATTATGTTTAGCATCCCATGCCGGTACAGCCAAACATGTTCCTACACATATATATATACATGAAAACTATACAGGACCAATGAAATATGCATGCCTAGATTGCTAGAAGCTTAACAATTATTAATCCTGTAGTAGATACTGATCAAACTGTCAAATAAACAACAGCCTATCTCAGAATGCAAAGTCAATAAATACCACTAATGAAGTAATTTTGGCAAACAATACAAATGAAACTATTTATCATTACAGATGCTTAGAAGGGTAGGGAACAGGAGCAACAGATGATGAATTATAAGCAAAAACTTATCACACCATGTGTGAATCCTGCATATAAGAACTACTGAACAAATGATAATACCATGTGCTAAGAGAGTCCCCTACGTCCCCTACTTTCTTCATGGAAACCATCACCCAAGTTATGCTATTGACTCACATGCAGTAAAAGTTCTCACATCAGTTAACATGAAACTCCAACCCAAACCATATCATGTTAGCTATCAACAATGACAAACTTACAAATCATTTCTAAACATATATATTTGCTTAAACAAAAGAATGTCCAGTTGGAAAGAAAGAAATGCCTTACCACAAGCCTTTATTTCACAAGACAGGTAAGAATTTCATTCATATGGTCAGACGTCTGTCAGACAAAATCCAAAAAATATATATATTTCATTCATAACAAACTCTATGGTATATCACATACAACTGTAACTGCCTAAATTTTAACATGCAAAATTATACTCTGAACAGTATTATCTGCACATTTTATGTATTGTAGCTTTCAGACTCAATTTTCTGAGTAAGTGAGTAAAGTATGTTAGTAAATATGGTAGTCCTCAGGGTGTATGTCACCATCAGTGTATCAAGTATCTGAATTTCAATATCTTGCTGACATTAGGGATCACCCTGCCTAACTCCCTTAATACAAGGGTCAATAGTTGAAGGAAGGCAGATGATGTTTCAATCAGTTAGTTATGACAGTGCAGTCACAGCACCTAGTAACATGACAGAAGCATTACCCACTAGCAATTCTGAAAGTAGTCTTGATTCAGACAGGGATAATAGTAATGGTTAAATCATTGCCAAATCAGAAAATGATGCATTAATTGATAATAACAGTGCTCAGGAAGAAGACTGTTCTAGATTTGGAATGGGATGACATTAGAAATCATTTCATTAGGAGAAACATTTATTCAAAATCTTGGATTTCAGAATTAATGTGAAAGGTGTAACAGACATGGTGACCATTTGCAAACTGATTTTCAGGGAATTTCCTTTAATGACTGTAACAGAAACCAGTCATTATGACAAAGAATTTTGTAATTTAACAGGACTCCTATTCTTGAGCATATCAAATGTTATCATGGAAATCAGTGACAAAGGAGGAAATATATACTGTGCTGGGGTTATTCATGCTAATGGGTGGAATTCAGAGGGCTTACACTCTGGTCATGTTTCTATATAAAGAGGGCTCTATCAATGCCAGGATATGGTGACATCACTATAAGAGAATGCCTTAACTGATTTGCAAATTCCTTCACTCCATTAAAATGAGAAGAACTATCCATACCATGGACTGCCAAGAGGTTTAATATTTTTCATTATTTCACATATAAATAAGAAATTCCATGAACTGTTTCTGCCAAACCAAGACACACCTACTGATGAATTTCTAACATTATGAAAGGGCCATCATCACCCAAACAGAAGTTTTCACTTAAGTCTTCACAATTTCTAATAAGCTCTAAAAGTGTGTGATGATGGTAAATTGTTACAATTAATATGTTGCTGGACATTATCCATCATCTTGTCTGTTCTTAAAAAACCGTCTAGTTTCTATTAAAAACACAACCTTTCGGGAACTGGAACACTTTGCAGCCTACTACAAATTAAAACACTGAACAATATGATAATATGCAGTTATAATACAGGGAACCAAACAGACGAGATACTGTTCAGAGCGCAACTGATGGATGGTTTGTTTGTTCAGTATTGTCTTTAAATGTTGCTGAATATAGTCAGGCCAGAACTATTCACAAAACAAAGTGCCATGTCTTATAGAAAGGCATTTCACAAAGCAGTTACAGATCAACTGGGAAGAAATCTAGGGGCAAAGAAGATGTCATGTGTACAAAACACGAAAAGAGGAGGCCATTATGTAATTCAGTGAAAGTGTATTCTGAAGACTATGTACAACATGAAACTGAACTTCTAGAATGTGATCAGCACTATAGTGCAGTCTTTTCTATATCCAATAAAACCCACTAAAGTAAGCACACTGAATTTCATGTGTATTTGTCAAATACAGTTTCCTAAATGTTCTTATCCATAAAGTAAAGTAAAGGTATCCCTGTAACACAGTGTGGAGGCCCATAGGGTTATGAGATGTTGAGGTTCCCACATTTTCTAGACAATTGGCTCACAGATGGCAACAAGGTTGTCAGCCCTACATGCCGGCCACTCTCTACCCCCAGGAATATTCCCGGTACTCATTTCTGTTGGAGGCTGAGTTGACCCCAGGGCCATAGGGCGCCTGAAAGGATTAGGTCAATTGAAAAAATCCAATGACCTCATTGGGACTTGAACCTGCGACCTTCCGGTTTGTAGCATAGTGCCTTAACCAACTACACTACCATGTGCCCCTGTTCTTATCCATTCTGAAGTAAATTCAACAAACTTCAAGAGAAATAATCTTTCTTTTTATAAGTGTGCTCAATGGACCTTTAGGTATAAATCTTCCTTTCAAGGAGCATGAAGCCATTTAAATAGCCACCATTAGTGCAGGGTTAACTGTGCATTTCAGCAGTCTGCAAACAGACTCTCACCTTCTCTCGTGTCACGACCTGCCATGTCCGCTGTAACCTGTACACTGAATTTGACTGCAGACCCGAGATGATGGCTTTGAGAGATGAGAAATTTTTTAACACCCGTAACTCCTGGAAATCAGAATCATTCCCACATATTCAAGAGAAATTTACAATTATTGCATCTGCAAACGATCATTTGTATTCAACTTAAAGTTACAAACAAAACATTGACTGGTACTGATTCAATGGCAGTGTTCATTTGCTTGAAAGCTGTATTGTATGTCCTTACATAATAAAGCCAGTCTCTCAAAGGAAAACTGTTACTTCATGAAAAAGAACGGCATTTTGAAATAAGCAGGTGCAATACTCAAGTGAACTCATCCTATTACATACAGTTTTGCTGGAAGGGCAGGAGATGGGAAAGAGCAGGTATTCCTATGTAATGAGTATTATTTTAGCTATCAGCCTTCTTCACCAACTGAAATTCAGTTCATATTGTCACACCCTAATTTTCTGGGATAAATTTCAACATTCTTCCTCTAATCTAAGCAGTATCTTGTTTTTAAGGGCACATATGATGGGGTACCCAAAAGAAACCGAACTAATTTTTATGGGCAGAGCTTTTGTAGTACTGCGTTTTGCCGCTATGAGCGCATAGAGCTAACATTCCTGAGTCGATAAGCTGACTACCGTTGCTTCAGAAGGTAAGGGCTAGTTTCGGCAGAGTTTATAGTGACAACTGTTTTGTGTGATCGTCGTTTTTGCAATGGCTGATTTTCGTGAACAGCGTGCGGTGGTGAAATTCTGCTTTTTGCTCGGGAAAAGTGGAACAGAAACTCTTGAAATGTTAAAAACGGCGTACAAGGACGATGCTATGGGGAAAACTCAAGTGTTTGAGTGAGTGGTTTTCCCGTTTCAAAAATGGTGACATGTCAATTGATGACAAACCTCGTTCTGGTCGTCCTTCCACGACCCAAACACATGAAAATGTTGAAAAAATTCGTGAAATCATCAAGGAAGATCGTCGACAGACCATTGAAGAAATCATGGAGCTGTCGGAAGTGACTTGGAGCTCAGCGGCCAGATTTGTGGCATTTGGGTGACTGGTTTTTCCATCATGACAATGCCCCTGCTCACACAGCCCTGTCTGTATGACAATTCTTGACCAAAAATGGTATGACCCCTGTTCCTCACCCTCCATACTCACCCGACCTTGCCCCGTGCGACTTTTTTTTGTTTCCTCGAATGAAGAGAGACATGAAAGGAAAAAATGACGGAGGCGCTGTCAAGCATCTCAAAAGACGAATTTAGACAATGTTTTGAAAAATGGAATAAAAGACTAGACAAGTGTATTAGTGTAAGTGGAGAGTACTTTGAAGGGGATTGAAGGTTAGTGCTTACAATTTGAATAAATAAGTTTAAAAAAAAATAAGTTCGGTTTCTTTTGGGTACCCCCTTGTATAATTTTCCTGTGTCCTCCACACATGCCATTTGTCCTACATCTTGCTTCAATTATGGTAACAAAAATGGAAAGAGTGAAAACTGTCAGGTTCCATATTATCAGGAAATATTTATCACACAGTTCAAATAACTTTACATTACCTGCTCTGCCCTAAAGATGGAGGTAGCAAGTTCCTAAAAAAATGTTGGTACCCACCTACCAAACTATATGGCATCATATGCCAGAAAATTACTATCTTTATACTTCCCACTACAACAGCCTCAAAGCTTTAATTTTACTTTCATGATGATAGTGCTTTTTGTTTGATGTAGCTATGCAATACAATTTTATGATGCTGCATATATATTAGTCTATACGCTACCAGGACTGTATGTACTGGTTGCTAGTATCACTAATTCTGCCACAGGTGAATCTACCAACAAATTTCTGTCATTAGGTGTCATCATTTTCATGAAAAATGCTTATTTAGAAGAACAATTTAAAACCTGTATTTTGTATTCTTTCAGTACTGGATATGGATGTTATGATGACACTGTTAATAAGACCGGCTCACGAGTATGTGCAGGAAAGGTATAAATTTGTTCTAATACAGAGGTAACTGCATGTGGTGTACCTGTGCTATGTCAATCCACGTGGTTATGATTCGTGCTCGCTCACTGGGACGAATATCTGGATCCATGAGTACAGTGCTGATTACACGCAGTGAAACAGCATTAAACTGATTCACTGTGGCCAGCACAGTGGCTGCCTCATGGCTCCGATTCTTGTCACGCCGGGACCATATGGCACCAAGACACTGGTGTGGCACCAATTTCTTGAATAACTCCTGCATACCAATACATTGTTCATAGCATGAAGAAACATTGAAAGAAGAAGAGCATGTTTTCAAAAATCTGTAGAATAAGTGAGTTAACAAAATTTTATGCAAGATTCATACAATGAAGAAAATTGTTTTTTTAATTATGTGAGAAGTAAACACACTAGTATTTGAGAAAACATGTGGAAATGAGAAAAGCATACAAAAGTCTGTCATAAAACCTAAATGGAAGAGATGGACTACATTACTATGTGTACCTGAGGTTAACGTATTCCACAGTGGTGAAGGTTCTTTAGGTGCACTTCTTGGCTATGAAATACTATAATCTACATGGTGTCATAAGCCAGAAGACCATAATGCTACATTTTATTTTCTTCACAAAATTGAAATTCCTCTTATATCAATGGTTTGTCCTGTGCACTATAAACTAGTACTGTTTGTCTAGCCCAACAGAATTTCATGCAAGAACAGATATACAGATGACAAAATAGAAATCACTGATTTTTAGTGAAGTTTCAAGACTAAATCACAATGAATACATTCACTGCTCTGCAACTGTAATTCCAATGTCTATACATTTATTCATCCTCACCATGTCCATCCTGGTAAGCTGCTCTGCAAAGTGACGTTCTGGTACATCAGGGAACACATATGGAAGTGGCACAGCGATGGCAGAATATCCATTAGCTAGTGCTGGATGGCTGAAGTTTGGTAGGCCTGAATTTGGGTACATCAGACAAGAATCTGTAACATAATACCAACAAATGCTCTCCTTTGTTTGTATTGAATCAAAAACCAGTTATTTATAATCCTAAATGGCTTGCTACCATTCAGTCCAGAACCTTTTGTCTTCTCGTCTGTTGTCCAAAGACATAAAAATTAGAATATACAAAACTATAATTTTGCCTGTGGTTTTGTATGGGTGTGAAACTTGGTCTCTGACATTAAGGGAGGAACATAGACTGAGGGTGTTTGAGAACAGGGTGTTGAGGAGAATATTTAGACCGAAGAGAGATGAAGTGACAGGATGTTGGAGAAAATTGCATAATGAGGAGCTTCATAACTTGTACTCTTCTCCAAGTATAATTAGAATGATCAAGTGAAGGAGCAAGAGGTCGACAGGTCATGTAGCATGAATAGCAGAAACGAGGAATGCATATAGGATATTGGTGGGAAAGCCAGAAGGAAAGAGACCACAGGGAAGACCAAGGCGTAGGTGGGTAGACAATATTAGAATAGATCTTAGAGAGCTAGGATGGTTCTGGCTCAGGATAGGGACCGGTGAAGGGCTCTTTTCGAAACAGGAATAATGGAGTTGGATAAATATTGAATGTGCCTGAGGCCGTACAGCACGACAGGGTCAACAAGGTCTACAAGTGGCTCACAGGGAATCTGCATTGCCTTACAGAACAGTGGCAAGGTGGGTAAAAGTCTTCAATGAGGGACACCAAAATGTGGCAGACATGCATCGGCTAGATAGTCCTAGTGTCAGTGAAGAAGAAGTGTATGCTCTTTCCGCGATACTGGAGAGTGATCGACACCATACGATTCGTAAGCTGGTCTGAGACACAGGATTAGCACATACAACTGTGCTTCACATTCTGAAGAAACACCTGGGCATGAAAAAAATTGCTTCACGATGGGTTCCCCATGATTTGACGGAAATGCAGAAATGGCTACGATACGACGCTGCTCGTAACCACTATGAGCGCAAAGGAGAGGCTTTCTTACTCCGTATCATTACGCTGGATGAGATATGGGCCAAATCATATGAGCCACAAATGAAACTCCAATCGAACGAATGGCGTCATTACGGGTAACCACGAAAATAAAAAATTTGTCAGAACCCCAGCATGTGAAAGTTATGATGATTCTCGTGTACGACTGTGATGGTGTCACGAATACCGTTCTCCAACAGCAGACCGTCAGTGCGCAGTATTACTGTTCATTTTTGGAACACAATCTGTGACCAGCTTTGAGAAAGAAGTGGCGACACTTTCTGCAGAACCTGCCCATCATTTTGCAGGACAATGCTCAGCCGCATGCAGAGCAAGCTGTGGCTGATTTGTTCGATCGATGGGGCTTGGAAGGGCTGTACCATCCACCATACTCCTCAGACTTAAGCCCTTGTGACTTCGACTTGATTCCTAATATGAAGGAACCACTTCATGGCATTCGCTTCAGAACTGTTCTGGAGATTCTCCAGGCAGCAGACTGCTCCATATGAACTGTCAACACAACAGGCGCTGCTAAAGGTATCCTACGACTTTCACATCGCTTACAACGGGTTGTACACAATGCTGGTGACTACACTGAAGGACAGTAAAACTTCGAAAAGTGCATCTATTTTGTATCAGTTGCAAATAAATAGTTGCCACTGTTAAAGTTCCAACCCTCATATAAAAAAAACAGATCAACATGGACTTAATGTTGCTCTTGACTTGTCGAGCTTTTTTGTCCGAGGAGAAGAAGGGCTATTCCATTGCAACGATTGCTGCTTTATTTTCAGAGTCATAGACATAAAACCAACTTTCATCACCAGTGACAACCTTTGAAAGATAGTTTGGATCCTCGTGAAGCTGTTGTTGAAGTTCCCTGCAGACTTCCAAGCGATGCTGCTTCTGTTCATTTTGAAGCAGTCGTGGCACAAACTTCGCCGCAATCCTCCTCATGTTCAGTTCCTCTGACAAAATTCGTTGACATACACGTATACCCTAACTTAGTTCCAAGGTGTTAAAGAGGTCTTGGATGGTCAGTCTACGATCCCTGACTTTTGCGACATTTTCTGGTGTGATGCCATTTGACAGCCCTCCCAAATGATTGTCATCATCAGTCGATGTTCGGCCATTTTTGAAATGCTTATACCAGTCGTAAGTTTGTGTCTGGCCTAAACTGCTGTCACCAAAAGCTTGCTTCAACATTTGCTGCGTTTCTGCAGCGGTTTTCCCAAGTTTAAAACAAAACTTTGTAGACATGCTGCTCTCTCAGGTCAGCCATCGCAAAACCGCAAACTTACGGAAACACAACAAAGGAAATATGTTCACAAACAATAAGCCCAACCACTCAACCAGACGCCGATTTCCACACTGATTCAAGAAGGGCATGTGAGGAGACATCTAGTGGTATTTCAATGTAATTACAACCATTTGTTCGCAAAATTCAAATTTCGGGAACTTTTGAATTGCACCACGTACTTAATTATTTTAGCCTGGGCACGACATTTCCAATGTGCCACACTGATTCCAAAGCTGTAGGGCTCTTCTATAGCTCATACAGGTAAGCATAAGTACCTCCTTAGCAAATCACTGATCACATACGTGGTCATATTTTCCACCCAGAGTGATCAACTAGATACAGTCACTTTAACAAAGTTGTTTATGAAGAAAAATTGCACTAAAATTTTAAATAAAATTGTTTATGAGGAAAATAAATGAAATCAATTTGGGAAACATGACTAGACCCGCGGTATGGTGAGGCCCATTATAATGGAGTTTTGTGTATTTAAATGTATGAATGTTTTTCTCACTGGTAAAATACAAGAGGCAAAATAATTGTTGAATATGCATTATTTGGAAAACAAGTGAGATTCAAAGTTCTGATGAATCAAAACAATTTATAAAATTTATCACAATAACTCTTGCTTACCAAACATCTGGTCTTCCTTGCTGAACCTGTCCAGTCGATGTCGAACCTTCATCTCAAGCTCTGACTCGGGCAGGTGCTGGTGGCAGAAATACAGCAGCTGGTGGAGTGTGGGGTGTGTAGGGGGCGAACGAAAATCTTCAGGATAGGAATCAAGCCACACGTGCAGCGCCAACACTAATGTCCTTCAACAAAGAATCGTTCACCTCAGAATTATTCAATTCCATAGTGTTAGTTTCTAAATCAACATCACAGAGAAATCATATTTTAAATATTTCTCATACGGGCAAAAATAATGTAATTTCAATTGTAACACACCACTGTATTTTCATTCCACTTCAATTAAACTCTGTTTATACATCATACAAAATAACATAAATAATAATAATAATAATAATAATAATAATAATAATAACAACAACAATAACAACAACAACAATAATAATAATAATAACAACAACTGCAATAATAAATGTATCTTTAATAAATATCTTTACATAACTACATGATGTAGGAAGCACATACTATTTTTTGGCTCATTCGACTGTATTGAGAAGGATGACCTAGTTGCATATGTGATGTATGACAATATTTATAAGCTTAAAATTGGTGTTCGAATTGAATATGTTGAAATTATTTTACAACTGTGCTCATTATTCAGTTTAATACATCTTACATTGTAGCATTTATGTTCTCCTTGAACACCTATGATACTGTGTCCAAAGTGAGTAGAAATGTAGTCATTATGGACTTGGTTAGACAATATGGCAAAATTCACATACTTCTTCACCAACCTGCAGAGAAGCCTATAAATAGAAATGACTTTAAAACTAATAACTGTTAAAAGTGCAATATATGCATGTAATTTCATGTTTCTTCTTTACCACTGTAGCAACTTGTTTCTTAGTCTTCTGTATATATAAAAATCTAACGCAACAGTGAAATGCAAGCTTTGAAATTACACAATGTCAGGCTACCATACCAACAAACTGTCCAGCATTAACATGCTACACTAAGTAAGTTCTCTAGCAGGTCACAAATTAGTGATAATTCTCTTGTGTCAGTACGTTGTGTCTATTCAGCAAGTACTAGTAACATTTTGAAGCAGATATAAGGAGAGAGTTTAAAATTGACTGTGTGTGCACAATATTCATGGGCGATGGCATTAAACATCAGGCCTAAGGTACCATTCGATGACATGTAGGGGTGGAACAGAATACAGGACGAAGCAAGGGAACTTGATCACAGAACAGTTTATATAACAAATGGTGAGATTTCCTTCAATGAGTCCTAAACAAGTTGACATTTATTTTTATTCCTGTGTTCGTTACTGCCACATACTAGACGGTAGAAATAAACTAACTGACATAAATTAATACTTATTCACAAAATACAGTGACCTCTTGGTCACTGTACCATAAGAATATTCTGATGTTCTGATGAGATCTACTGCTTCATCTCCATTTGAACTCTGAACAGACTTCTTTACCCTCCTCACATTATCATTCCCCCCCACCCCAAACTATCCCAGTTTGTGGGTAATACAGCATCCAAAAGAATCAACTAAAATTCCAGTCCTGAGTAAACAGAATACTATTTTGTTTTTGACACTTGAACTGTTTATCCTACCAAGCATCAACCGAATCATAACCCACTATGACTCAGCTCTAATTCATTAGCTGGCAAAAGTTGGGCTACATACTCACTTCACTTCTACCATTCAATACCATGCCCAGGCTCCTAAGGAGATTTAAGCTGAACCTCGAACAATAAGAAATTGAAAAGCAATGCCCGCCCAAAATAATGATTACACAGTAGCAACTGAAAAATAGGTGGCTTCTAGTCAGATAGCAATCAGTTACCTAGACAGAATGTGAGAACGCTCACAGCAATGGACATTTCTTATTTATTATTCTGCATGTGCCTCCTAGTCTGAGGAATGGAAATTTCCTTATCAATTCTCCAAAGAAACTGCAGTACTTGATGCTTACACAGATTTTTAAAATGTTCACTAAAACAGCCTGAGATCCATATTGTTTTGAAATTTGTGTGTAATGAATTTTTTCATGTATCAGTCCACATCAGCAAGCTACTTATGTCGCATTTTTACAAAACTGAATACATGCCTTCCACAGATTTTCATGCTGACTCTAGAAGATGTCAAGATTTTTGTAATGTGAACTGCTGATGTGTCTGAATTTACTTGTTTGCTTTTAGGTAGAATTCTAACAGTTCCTTGTGAGGCTGAAATATCATTTTCTGGAAAGCTGATATGGGTTCAGTCCTGTAGCTTGTGGTGTTCAAAGTGTAAGTAGTGAGAATGTTTTCGCAGTATCAGTTCTCTGCACTGTCCATAATTAAAGAAATCTGGGCTAAATGCATTTATACAGAGTCCTTCTTGAACAGCCAAATCACCTGACTGTTCCTGCACCTTAACCATCACCTGCCAGGAATGCTGAAAGTAATGTCAGTAAACACGTAAATCTGTCATCATATCTTTCTTTCCAAAAAAAAAAAAAACTGAAATATTTTGCATACTTTGCACAAGTATGGGAACCTCTGCAATAGGGACATTTACTTACTTGCGATGTTGCTCCATGACCAACTCGGGCAAGTCCAGCTTGTTGTTGGCCAGCTGTTCATACCTACAGCAAACAAAGACGCAAAATAACATAGAACAAAACTATAATACTAATTTTCCTGCTTCATACCAATATATCTGCATGGTCTCAACTGCGTAACTCCATATACCACAAATGTTTATCAGACCACTGGCAGTTGGCAACAATGACCTTTCAAATCAGTGTTACAAAGGGACAAATTTTTTGCAACTGGGTCTTCAGGAGTACATACAACCCTTGTAGCCACCAATACTACATAACAATTGTCAAAGTGTGGTTCACATATTGTTCCAATGAGGAACTGGTCGAACGCTGAGTTTTAACATCAAACTCATAAGCCTGCAACTATTAGCGGTCTCACTTATTTTTAACTGATATCTCCAGCACTCAATTTTGTGGTGGCAAACAGAAGTATGTGGGGGTAGGTGGTCTATGTGACATTTGTGACTAGGTGAAACTGTATTCAGAACTCAGATCTCTACATTGTAACTGTTTTAAAATGGTACAAAACAAACAAACATACTAATTTAATCGGGAACGTTAAACGAAGCTGATCCTGATGGTTGCATGGTCATAGGCATTTCGGGAATCTGGTTTCGGCCTTCGATGCCTGCCTGCTCTGTTTCTGAGCGTAATCTTTTTCACACTATGAAATGGAATCGTACAGTTTGTATAGTGACTGGCTATGACTTGGATGGCTGAGGGGTCCGAATTTGAGTCCCAGTAGGGGTAAGATTTATCTTCTCTCCACATCATCCAGACTGGTTCTGGGTCCCACCCAGCCTCTTATCCACAGGGTACCGGGGGCTCTTTCCATGTGGGTAAAGCGGCCGAAGCATGAAGCTGATTCCTCACCTCCAACTAGTGCCGAGGTCAGGAAAATGTAGATCTACACATCCACTACCCTATAGGTCTTCAGGGTGTACTGTTTGGTCCAGCACAGGAACAACTTTACCTTCAGCTTTTATCTTTTTCACACTGTAGGTATGACGATGGGATAAACATGCAATGAAGTTTTACCTGTGTCTAGGAGTCATTACCTCAGAACACAATTCTGAATCATCTGCAGCTTGAATCAATGAAAGAAAAATAATATGAAAATGAGACTGCAGAGTTCTGCTATTTCTGTCGATCGTTTATTGGTCTCTTTATATAATGACGCTTACTAATTTCACTGGATATGGGGTGTAAAATAGACGTACAGCTGTGGATAACATACAGTATTAGAAATTTTGTGCAAGAAACAGCCCGAAGTGATCCTGGTCTCTTTCAAAGCATTGCCCTTGCACTGACTTAGGAAGATTTGAGTATAAATGCAACAATTCTTAATCATGATAATGATATTCTGGCAAAGACCACTAGCAGTTCATTTGGCAGTAATGCTGCAGATTTGTAATCTGAAATACCTGGTTCGAATCTCGATCAGTATTTACTTTTGTGGTGGTGAACTGAAACATGTGGGAATGTGACATTTTCAACCAGTTGACCTGTTTGCAGGCCAACTAGTATAACTAAGTACAAGAATAAAAATCCCACATTTGGGACTCACTATTTGCACCCATCATCTGGAACTAACACAATGAGTGAAACAAACTGTCTGATTGATATACATGCAGGTTGACCTCATACAGCTGTCACTATTCACATTTGGCCCAAATCAGACAGCAGTGAGTGAAATCAAATGGTCACCCACCTCACAACTCACAATTCTCAGTATCTTTTTACGTGAAGTGGCAGTGAGTGAAAACAGAATTACTTTTTAATGGCTTAAGTCCTAATTCACATATACTCACTATCACATAATATCAGGCTATTGCAGTGTATGGTCCTCTTTTTCAATTAAGTTACCCAATATCTTTTTGTAATTTATCACTGCCTAATTTCTATTTCCTCATTCTCATGATGGTAAGTAGTCACCCATCTCAAAGGAGATGATGTTTAATGTTGCAACATGTCAATCCCTCACACGAAACATAAAGAAACAATCTCTGAAACATCAGATTTTTATCCCACACTGATGTGCCTGATCAACACAAAAATTTGGGATTTCACACAGCAAAGATTTGTCATTCACCTGTCGAGAAGCAAGGTCAAAACTTGCTTAGCAGTGGCAAAAGTGCGGTATGTAGTGAGGAAGACGTTAATATATGTTGATTCCAATTCACCGTCGTCTGTTGCAAGGCTCTCCACCAATTTGTCTAGAGTGCCTGCTTTCACAAACCTTACACGAACAGTTTCCCACTCCAGATGTGAGATCTCGTCATCCGAGTCCTGCAACAGCACCAGTTACCGATTTATACAGCTGACATGCATTGCACAAGAACATGATGAAAATCACTGCACTACATCCTGTTAGTTCTCACTGAGAGGTGACAATGCAAACTTCCATCAGTTTTCAAACATTTACTGTTATTTTAAACTTATTACGAATTTCACACAGTATATTTTTCATTTCCATGTTTTATTACCCAATTCAATTATATACTTATTTTATTATTATTTCTTGTCCTAAGTTCTCTATTACTTTCGCTTTATAATATTTACCAACACAATTCTATGGCGCGTCCTCACGTTGCGGATATAGGAGACACCCTCCAGTTTTGGAGGGAAGCTGCGAATATATTAAATAAGCAGTCGCGGACAGCCCACAAGGGGTGGCCCTCCAGCATGGGGGTTGGGCGTGGGGCTAACAACTCCTCACCGTTAAAAATCATTATGTCACGAAAATGAACACAAAGCCCCGGACATGGACGGATTCTTTGGATAAACGACCTAAGCTAATGAAAATGGATACGAGATTTGTGCACTTGGAATGTACGAAGTTTATATAGGGCAGCTTCGCTCAGGCGGTCAGATGGGATGCAGGTGGCATCACACCAGCAGGAGACTATACATTTTTCTGTGGAAAGGGGAAAGAAAATCATGAATTAGATAGAGGTTTCTTCGTACATAAGAGAATTGTATCAGCAGTTAAGAGGGTAGAATTCGTTAGTGATAGGATATCATATATAATACTAAAAGGTCGCTGGTGTGATATCATTGTTATGAATGTTCACGCCCCAAAAGATGATAAGATTGATGACATGATTCTATGAAGAACTAGAACATGTATTTCATAAATTCTCGAAGTACCCTATGAAAATTTTGTTAGGAGATTTCAATGCCAAAGTAGGGAGGGAAGACATTTTCAAACCAATGATTGGGAATGAGAGTTTGCATGAAATGGAGTTAGAGTTGTAAACTTTGCCACATCAAAATCTTACTGTTAAAAGTACAATGTTTCCACATCATAACATCCATAAATTTACTTGGACATCTCCTGGTGGGAAGATACACAATCAAATAGACCATATTTTGATGGATAGGAGACAGCGCTCAAGTATACTTAATGTACGATCATTCCGGGCAGCAGATTGTGATACTGAACACTACCTGGTGGTGGCAAAAGTTAGGGAAAGACTGGCAGTGAGCAAACAAACAACACACAGAGTTCATACGGAGAGGTTCAATCTCAAGAAATTAAATGAGATAGAGGGTAAAGAGCAGTAGTGTGTTCAAATATCAAATAGGTCCACAGCTTTGGAAAACGTGGAAACTGAGTGGATGCTAATAAAGCTTGGCAAACTATTAGAGAGAATATAAAAATGTCTGACAAAGAGAGTCTAGGTCACCTAGATTATTATGAACCGAAGAAGTATAAGCCATGGTCCGATGAAGGATGCTCAAAATTATAAGATCAAAGAAAACAGGCCAAATTGCAATGGTGACAGGACCCAAGAGAGTTAGATGGGGATAATCTGAACAATATAAGACGTGAAACCAGCAGGCATTTCAGGAACAAAAAAAGGGAATATATGAAAGACAAAATTGATGAGCTTGCAATGAACGGTAAGCACAAGAACATAAAAGAGACTGTTAAGAGGAATAAATGACTTTAAGAGGGGTTACCAGCCTAGCAGACTCTTAGTGAAGGATGAGAATGGTGATCTGCTTCCAGATTTCCACAACATTTTGAACAGGTGGAGGAACTACTTCTCTCAGTTACTGAATGTATATACGGTAAATGATGTTAGGCAGACAGAAATCCATACAACTGAGCCGTTAATACCTGATCCTAGCCCTTTTGAGGCTGAAAGTGCTATTGCAAAATTGAAACGGTATAAATCGCCGGGTAGTGATCAAATTCCGGTAGAACTTATTCAAGCAGGAGGAGAAATATTACGTTCTAAGATCCATAACCTAATTACTTCCATTTGGCATAAGGAAAATTGCCTGATCAGTGGAAGGAGTCTATTATTCTATGAGTTCACAAGAAGGGTGATAAAACTGACTGTAGTAATTATTGGGGGATATCACTGCTATCAACTTCATATAAAATTTTGTCGAATATTCTTCTTCCAAGGTTAAGTCCATATATAGATGAAATTATTGGGGATCATCAGTGTGGGTTTCGACGTAACAGATCAACTACAGATCAGATCTTTTGCATT